ATCACAATAGTTTCATTCACATCTCAATTGACTGCATTGCCGTCCGTCCGTTGAAATCAAAGACTACTTGGACGAATCATTTCATCCGACAATTACGGCTGGTACACACGATTCTAGACTTTATGCAGTTCATTCGACTCCTACATATAAACTGGCAGTCGCAAGTTTATTATAGTGAAGTTGTAAATTGTCCACGTGATGAAATATTTGACCCCAATATTGGGACAGTCACGACCCGGATTGAAAGAGTCAATTTTAGTCTGGCTTCTAATCGATTACGAAAATTGGTCTCGATAAGCTCTGTTATTTGATTTGCAAACTGTTGATGGTCAACAAGCGATTAGTTTGGGTGAGAGATTTGCTTGCTTGAAATTGCTGGTTTTTGTCTAATTGTCCTTCTAAATAAATGTTTGTCCCCAAATTAAGTACATCGTACATTACTGATCGTCGCGTATACATTATCTTACGAGCATTAGAACGTTCCGAGAGAACCTTCCGGCTATTGTCCGGTCGATCTCCGGTTGAACAATCACCGGAATTGTTTAAGACATTTATTTAAACTCATGATTGTTTATTACTAGCGTTCAACAATTGCTGAGTAATAATAAAATAATACGTCTAATAAATTACATGATTTATTATTACATTAGGATAGTGCCCCACCAGTATTGAATAGCAAAGACATATGTTAATAGTAGTTACAAGTCGGCTAATACTATACGTCGTACATACCGATGAAAAAGGCAAAAAATCACTTATTCATCTTTCGACAGAGAATCTTGTCAATTTTTCAAATCGAAATCGACCTCAAAGCTGTATAAAGACACTAGTTAACTTGAAATTTTAAACATCAGCACAGGGATACGGAAGGTCTTCAAGAACAGCAATTACTGTTATGCCTTGGGGCCAATCGCCTAACGGAAATGCTTTGGGAAACGCTAACGCTTACGATTTTATATTGTTATTTCTAGCCGCCTGAGGTTTTCGAATACCTCACGCTCATTTTTTTTAATATTGTTATTACCAATGCAAAAGAAAAAGAAAGAGCGCGAGGCATTTGAATACCTCAGGCGGCTAGAAATAACAAAATAAAATCGTAAGCGTTAGCGTTTTCCAAAGCATTTCCGTTAGGCGATTGGCCCCCTTGTCTCTTGTCTTTCCTCGTAATCAGTTAACACTAAAAGGAAACCAGTTTCTACCGTTGTATTGGTGAGAATATTTTCATATGAAATCTGTTTGACAGTTTTGGTCGAATACACATGTTCTAGCGTTCGTGATGTGAGCGGAAACGGATGTGCCCCTTTTCCTCACACGTCTCAGAATCGGCGGACATTGATCGATGGTCATTTACATACCATCCTTTATGGTAGTATTTCGTTCGGTGGCCGCGTGTATGGCCATTTAGAATTCTCAGTAGGAAGTAAACATCACGTATTGTTTGGTTTGTGTCGTTGGCATTTTAATTGCCCATTACCAAGTAATATGCATAAATGTGTGATATGACGAGGAATACTTCATAATGTTCATAATCGATGATGGGGTTGCCTTGGCTGCTAACCGTAACCGGTTTGATGAAGTCTGGTTTCAATGCAGAACTTGTTTAAATGTATAAACTAGGAAATGTACATAAATGTGTGATAAATGCATAATTTTACACGTTTTATTTTCTAAAGATTCTTCTCTGTTTTTTAATACAGTTAATGTTAGAATTACATATTGTCACTTGTTTTATTACTAAAAAAGACAGATACAGCGTTAGGTTTCAACAAAGTCTAACTTAGTCCACGTTTTGTAATAATTGGGTCATTGTCTAGAGATGGTAACGTACAATTAATTGATGTAACATGGAGGGAGATGACGTTACGTTTTCTAATGGACATGATCTAGTTGCTTCGCCAGCCTTCAGTACGAAATGCAACAAAAAAGCCTTAGTTTTTGTACCGCAGTTTGTACCGATTGTCGCCCCGTTCCGCTTGGAGTCGTAAGCTGAGCGCATAACTCAGCTATTTTAGGCCAGCCGGACGACTAACACACTTTGGTAGCGTTAGCGAACACGGTCAAAGGGATAACCAGTCAGCGTGAGCATATGCCCTGGAGCGTCGCACGCCTCTAATGGATAAATTTGCTACACTAGCAAACGCTCCTATTATCCATTTTACATCGTCACATAAACCCGTTAGAATTAATTCATCAAGCATTAACAATGTCTCTTATCTTAATTGACCTAGTACTTTAACTATTTAGAGAATTAGACGGAATATTCAAATGATCCCATATATTTGGATCTGTAACATATCTGCCCTAAATTGGTAACGTACTTTAAATAATACTTTCCAAATTAAGCTTTCCATGGTGGTTTAAAATTTATTATACCTTTTTCACAACTAAAGGGTTTTTTTTTCTTAGACACGACTAGAAAGTATGAAAGTCTAAGAAAAAAAAACTAAACCTCTTGTCTTGTACCTAGTAAATCTACCAGATTTGCTGTCCTTCGAAGCGTGGAAATATTAGACAGATTTTAGAAATTGGTCTTTTTTATGTAAATCATCTAAGTGAATTACAAGGCCAGCTTTGCTTGCACTCCCATGCAATATAGCTTATATTACAAATATGACTTCTCTAATAATATCTAAAGCACCGAAAAAAAACATAAAGAAAAAGAAAACTTTTACCCCCTCTGGCTCAGCAAGAGATTTAAAATATAACTTTGTTTGCCATAACAGAATTAACTTTTGTCGTCTACGTCGTTTTGTTTCATAAACACATTAAATTTCTGGGTTATCACAAAGCTGTTTATTATAAACGGTTAGTAATTGGTAGCTTCGGAGTTATGTTTTTTTCTTGATCTATAATTTGCCTTATTGTTCATATATTTATGGTCACTAAAAGTCTTTTACTTTCTTTTAATGTATCCAAGCGTTTTGGAAAATAACTTGATGTAAACTCAATAGCTCTTCATTCGGTCAAAGGAATCAATACCACAACAAATGTAAATTGTATTATTGTTTTGGAATTAAAGTAACTCAAACCATACTGCTAAAATTGTAGTATTTAGGGCCCACCTCTCTTCCAACTTACAGAATATGGTGCGGTGTATACTGTCTTTAGAAGCATTAACAATGTAACAGCATTAGGTATGTCCCAGCATTTTAGAACTGAATTGCCTTTTACAGCAGTGGTGTGGACAGTAATGTAACATAATAGCAGTGGCATGTGTTTTAAGGCTATTTCCTTTCTATTCTAATTGGCTTACTACCGGTCGGTAAGTAAATTGCTTCGTTCTGATATATGAGAAATTTTATAATCTAGATCGTAGCGTGAAATTTGGCGAATAGCCCACATTTCGCACGGCTGTTGAGTTGACGAGGGAAAGTGATGGGGCTGTTGATTGCTTTTTTGGTTTTTTAGCTACAGTGTGATTTTTAATTCGACGGAATACTGACAGCTGTGATTTTTTGACACTTCAGATGCCATAAAGCTTTTCTGTTGTCCTTTTGATAAGTTATTTGTCCAGATTAGGAAAAAACCTTTAAGCCCTGTTCTACTCAACGCTCAAATATTGATATTTAAAAAAGTTATTTATATGATTGGTTTTTTTTTGGATATAATTAATTTAAAGAGATTAAGATCATGTAAACATTAAAACAATGTAAACAGTGTTTGTTCTGTGCACTAAACATAGTAATTAATAATTTAATTTGAAATGACTTAATAGAAAATATTTTTAAACATATTTTTATGTAAAAACGTAAGACATATGGAGCGTCCATCCGGAGAAGACCACAGTTAAATAACACTACCATTTGGTGGTGTTGTGTTTCTGTCGGTGAGTTAGCTTCTATGGTCCCGCAGGGCTGAGGATGGTTGCTAACGCATAAGCGATATTCTGGTATCGCAAGTGTGTGTAGGTTTTGGTGGCTTACCTCCAGGCGGGCCATCATAGGTTTGTTATTGTTAGCCTTAGATGAGAAAACTAAACATGCTCTCTTTCTGCTTCTTTTAGCGAGCTAACTATATAACATGTATAGTTATTATCTGTCTTCTTGCATTAGGCCAAGCTGTGTAAACAGTCGTTAACACTTTCCACGTCTTACCACTACCCATTTCTTTTATGATGTGATCATAATATGTTCTGTGACTCTGAATTTGGTACATTATTATAGCCTGATAATAATGATGAATCCAAATTTGTTTCAGTTTCTCTTTAAGTGCTAAGTGAGAATGGCTTTAATAGAAAATAATCGTACAGTAGAGATTTAAAGTTCAGATTCGAGCAAAAAAACCTCTCAGCGGATATGGAATTCACAAGCGTATTCTCACTCGCAATATGGAGTGAAGTTGGTCGAGTAAAAGCAAATGTACAAAATTTAAAAGGTTTACTTTTACGTATGCATTGCACTCTGTATCTACGTAGAATGTGTCTAACGTAGTTCAACCCCTATTGGGTAACTGCGTTTCAACGGCAAATGTTTACGAAGTTCAACGTTATTTTAAATCAGTGCTTTTTGAAATGAAGACTTCTGTGTATTTTGTGAATGGATTCCAAATGTTTTGGGAAAAATGTACACATATTTTCTCTTATATAACCTAAAGAGGATGAATGGGAAAAGCAATACCAGGTTTTCATGTTCGTAGCTGGTGAAAGAACAACAAAAGACCTTTATTGAGTCTGTATTGCGTGTTTCTTCTTAGACTTGAGTGCCAGCTGTCAGACTTTTGTGAAAGCTCTTTTGAGTATTTATAACCTAAGAACTTTACCAATACTGAGGCTTCATGAAGTTTTTATACTGATATGGATTTATTTATCTCTTTTTGTTACACTTTTGATCTACTGCAACCCGTAACGGTTGCGGCGTATCAGTATGCATATCTCCAGTTGTTATCACACTGTGATCATCTTTTATTATACATCGTCCATTGACTTTTAGTTATGTAAACTAGGTCAGCTGTTTCTATTACAATTGCAGATGTAACTGTTAATGTATCTTTGTTTGTTTCAGGTAAACTTGCCGACAGCTATCAGAACACTTAATCCTACAATTAAGGTACAAGGCGTAGACAATATAATTTCTTAATGGAACGTAAAGGAATCAATGTGAATACAACCAAGCTAGGTGTAAGGTTAATTAATATAAGAAAACACAGTTTGTCCATGTACTTACTTTTTTCGATGGGTTTGCATTTGAATGTGTGTTTTGAATTCAGGATACTGATTTAGCTCTTAAGGTTTCTGTAGGAGCGGATCCGATGCAGTATAAATTTTGTTAGAAAGAAACAGAGATCTGTGATGGAGATTGTATTTCTATGTAAAATGTAAATATTGCTTTGTTTTTTAAACTTTCTCACTTACTGCTTCACTTCAACGAGATTCTAAAAAAAGTAGGTTCCATTCAGGTCTAGTGTGCTTTCGATCTCTGCTTCCTTCGAATTCGTATAAAACTTCTTGCTGAATATTTAGATCTTCCAGTATATCACACCAGTGCGCATCAAATAAGTTGAAACATATTAGCGACTCGAAAGCTTAATACGTAGATAGATATTGTATTTGTATTACGAAAGCGACCGACTGACGTCGTCCTACATACAGGCTAAGACCGTGTAACTCATATCTCTATTGCTTCGTACAGATAACGAATAGTGTTAGGTTTTGATCATAAATTAGTTGCGATTGTTGCGTACCAAGAAATCGGGGCACTTTGTTATTGGTCGTAATTGTTAAAGATTTTCTTTTTTTTAAATATTCTTCACACCTTTTTCCAAGGCACTCAAAGCCTCCTGCTAAGAACGAACTCGCAAAAATCTTTATCACGAAAAGTAGAAAAACCCTTAAAATTTTAAAATAAATCTTAGGGTGACCTAAAAATAAAAAGCTCCATTTTTAATACGACTGAAATATAACTTCAACAGACTAAACGCAAACCTAAGGAATAATATATTTCAAAAACTAAAAAGCCTCCTGAAATATCTTACCTTATGGGGAAAACCGTTGGAAAACCTTTACGTATGACGTTGGTAAAACATTACCTGCTGATTAAAAGCTTGTGCCAGAAGGGCTTTAAACAACGGTGATAGTAGAAAATATTAGTCGGTATATGATATTTTACGGGGTTGCAGAGCATTAGGGGTTCGTAAGATATAACATCAAACAATGTAGCAGTTTCTGTAGCATATCTCAACGTTGGGCATTGGTACATTACATTCAGTATTGCTGGAATTTAAGTTTCTTCGGAAATTCCAACGATAGTTTGTTTGCCAATACCAGCACTTGTTTGGTCAGTTCAATATACGGGAGGTTAGTCCAGGATGTCCGAAAATTATATAATTTATTAAAGTAATAATATGCCAAGCGGTATGGTTTTCGACTATTATATAACAGACTCAGTTCCGACAATTTTATAACATTTGCATGTAGTTTTATTGTTTATAGACATGATATGTTCATGTGAAGAGGTGGTCGATCCAAGTGAACGCCTCATACGAGTATCTACGTGGAATTAATGGATGGAGTCAGTGGATAGGCAACGCGCGGGTGATAATATATTGTTTGTATTACCAACGAAGTCTTTTTTCAACTCATTAGGAGTTCAAAAGATTGGGCCCTCGCCCGAACTCCCTTTTTTTGTCTGGAAAATGCCTTGCGCATCCTTCAACCACTGGGGGAGCGAGAAGAAGGTATGTGGGACTCCTCCCTGTCCCCTTCAGCCAGCCCTGGAGCTCGCTGAAGTGAATAGGGCCCTACCTACGCGCTGAACAGGGCCACTAAAAACCAGACAATACTCCTGCACCGTAACCCGACACGCACTACGAGGACCGCGGTCCCCCTAGTGCGTGCCGAGAGGGCGGGTGTGGTCGCGGAACCCGTCTCCGAATGGCCGCGCACCCGCCAGGTTCGCCCGAACTCCCTAGATAATGATCCACACGGGCACAGTGCGAATTGGTTGGTGTTAATGACTGCAGATACAGCCGGTACAAATATATTAAAGTGCTTTTGAAGCACGGAGAAGCAAGAGGTATTACATTTTTGGACACCCTTCCAAAGACCGACCATTGCGAAATTTGTGTAACTTCCAGGATCGCACACCGAGCTCCTTACACACTGAACTAAACTTTGCTAGTTGGTTTTTTAATGTCAGATTGAAGGGTATATTTCGAGCAGTTAAATTTTTAAAATTAGGGGGTTCTGCTTTAGTTTGTGTATTTAGGTATAGTCTGTATGTCGCTTACCATCGGGAGCACAGTGGCCCAAGGACGACCTTTGACAGCTCCGTAATCGTATCGTCATCGTCAAATTTTGTATGGAAGGAGACAGTTGGTTCCTACGCCCGGAAGGGGTACTGCTTAGTTTTCATAGAAACTGATGACGCGATAACGGAGCTGTTAAGAGTTCGTGATTGGGCCTCTGAACACAGAAAGAGAGAGTCATACCCTTGTTCGCCACCCATATCTGTGAAATGAAAACTTGTTGTTCGGCGTGATGCGTGTATGTATATGTGTTCAATAGTAATTATATCTTGTTTTCTGCTGGCGTGCGTCAGAAGTTGCAGTGGCGCTTGCGCAAGGTGTAAAGTGTAACGTGACATTTCGGATGACTGAAATAGTACCTGGTGCCCCGAATTTCATGGTAAATATTTAGATCAGCTGCTGGGTTAAAGAGAATTTTATAATATGTATTGATGAAATTCATACATAAATGTCATTAAGGTTAGGGTCACAAATGATATTGCAATCATTCAATTAAAAATGCGAACGTATCCATACTTAGTTTAAATTATAAATGTGAAAGAATGTCTGTGTATTAGTTACCTCTTCCCATCTAAACCGCTGAACCGATGTAGATGAAATTTGGTAACATTGTTAGAGTCCCGACGCAGTACATAGGATAGTTTTCATCCTAAAAATCATCCTTTAACGGGTTGGAAAGGGGGGTGGAAGTTTGTATGGGAAACCTTTTTGTCCACGTAGGCAAAGTTGCGGGCACAGGCAGGATTTTTTCTATAAACATGTGTTATACGAAGCTCTCATTAACTATCAAGCACTTTAACCTCTTAATTCTAGAATGAAAATTTATTAATTTATGATATTAGTACGGTAAGTTGGTTTTTACAAACGAGTAAGTCGAGGGCTTACCATAGTCACGTATTTGTAATACTAATCCGCATATGAATGTCATACAACCATTTGCAACACATTTGCGAGAAAAGAAGCAATTTTTTTCTAATAAGAAAATGGAGCTCATTTCCAAATGGCGCCACGTGCGGGTGGTGCGGGTGGTGAAAATTAGAACTACGTCTTTCGTCTCTTTTTCTTATTTGTATTAAAGTGAAACAGGTATAGACTAAAAGCGGTTCCGAGGAGATTCGATCGAAATAAAAAAAACGGAAAGAATACGCAAGGTGCCAAGTATGGGAGCTTGTGTAATGAGTTTTACCGCACGCTCCACTGTATCGCCATTAATTTTGAATTTTCGAACAATGTATACAACCTTCGTAAATGCAATTTTTTGAGCAAATGTGTTGAAAAGAAAATTTATTAATGAAAGAGTATCAATCTAAAATCCTGGTAAGACCATCGCAAGAATTAGAAGATTTCAAAATCGAAGAGCTACTCATTATTTTCTTGCTGTTTGTAAGCGCGTGATAAAACCCTCGGGCAGTTTAGTATAAGATATTTATTAATAAATGTGATAAACTTGGCGCGTATGTAGATGTAACATTTACAGTTGACTCGACAGTTAATTGCTTAGGAAAAATCACCGTTATATGGCATCCTAAGCTAAATCTGTTTGTATAGGTGTGTTATTTATTCATTTTACTACAACTAAATTTAAACAAAGTCTGAAGTATTGAAATTTGAAAAAAAATACTATTGGGTTTCCATTCTACTCTTTGACGATGACATTCAGGGCAGGATTTAGAGGTATAGGGGCCTTGGGCTACGAAGGAGTTCCTGGGTAGGACCACTTACGAATGGTACCTCCCGTGTGGTTTGTTGACCTGTCGAAATAGTTTTTTTTTGGTCCCTGCTGGGTGTGACCCCTAGGCCACAGTCCCACCGAGATTAAAGCCTTTAGTAGTAGTACATTCTTGGTCACCAATCCAATGACAGACCATTACAAAAGCTGTGTAACCTCGACAATCGTGAGTCTGCGATCAATATGATTCACAAGCAAAGGGCCATTTCAAATATGGGGTTTCTTTTTTGCGACGTTCGATCCATCTAATCGAATGCAAATTTATATGCAATCTGGCAATCTCCCGTGACAGGTTGTGTGATTGCGATTATTTATAGTTGTTTTGCGCACCTTTACTGACATTATGTGGGACCTTTGTGAACCATGCAACCCTTTAAAATGCCATGCCATTCTTGCTTGTAACAAACTTGCTAAGCAAAAGAAGTGCAAAATCGTCAGATTGAATCTTTTGTCGATTTAGCGACAGTCTCTCGTCTGAATTTCAAATAGCCTTCGTTCGCTGTGAGTTTTCTTTTCTCTTTTAGTTTAAAATAATATTAGAGTAGGGTTCATTTATCTTTAAGTTTTTCTCGGTTCTAGTAACGTTACCGTCATTATTCTGCAGAGCTAAAATGCCAAGTATTATACTACAATTCATGTTCCGAAGACAGACAGAATCTTCTTTGCTTGCTTCATTAACGTAGGCTTTAAACGGACTTTCTTTCGGAGAAGAAATATTAAATGTTTAAGAGAGATAGAGCATAGCGGATTTTTGTCGCTCGAATTGAGCGCTCGTCTTGGGAAGTAACCTCCACCTTACTGAAGATGACAGTAAAATAAAACTACCTATTGGTGGTGTTGTATTTCGTCGATGAGTAATGGTTCCAGGGCTCCGTGGGTTTAAGGATTGGGTCAGGGTAGGCAACGGTGCCAGTGATATATTTGGTCTCACAGGCGTATATCTACAGGCTATGGTGGCCAATTACCATCAGACGGGCCATACGCTTGTTTGCTACCCTTCTGACATAAATAATTGAATTTTTATCTCAATTAAATATAAATAAATAAATATTTCCAACACCCACACCAATTAGCCTAGCCCCAATGTAAGCACTGTAAGACTTGTGTTATGAGATGCTAGGGTAACGGATAGAATACATATACTGTACATATATAAGTATATTTATATAGAAATACATATTAAACATACATGACTGGAGTACAAATGCTCGTATTCATCACACAAACATCTGCCCCCACCGGAATTCGAACCCGAAACCTCTCGAGTCGGTGACACCATGAAACCAGGCGTACAAACCACTCGGCCACGGAGGTCGTTAAATTGATATAAAAAAACAACATTCAATAAATGGATTTGATAGGATTTTTTGTTGTGAACGGTATTGACCTGCAGATAGTCGTGTTGGGTGCTTTATTTTATTTAAAATTTAAATGTTAAACTCAGTAGTATTTATTTGAAAAATAATGTTTATGAAACGGCGTTAGTGATCCTGCTTGCCTACTCCTGCTTTGAGTAAATCCTGACAAGGACAGGCATGTTATGATTGCGTGATGTTGATGAGCGTATCATTATATTTTTCCGTGTCATGGTTATTTATAATCTGCACTCAGATATCGTATATTTTTCATCCGTTCTTTAATTAGTATAAGTATATGTAGTACAAGCTTTAATTAGTATGGTATTCTAAATTTCTTGTGAGTTCTCCTAAGCTCATCCTACTAATATTATAAATGTGAAAGTGTATGTGTTTGTATAGTTGTGTATTTGTTACTCAATCACTCAAAAACTACTGAACAGATTTGGATGAATTTTGGTGCGCATATAGTTTATGACTTTTCATCCCGGAAAAATGTTAGGTTCCCGCCGGATTCTCGAATAACCAAAGTTAACATGGATGAAGTCGCCGGCGGCTGCTAGTACGTAATAAAAATACATCGCCCGATGATTTATTATTTTACCTATCCCAATTTGTTCTATACATACCTAAATTAAAAACATAGCGGCTTGTGTACCCGTCTTCTCATCATCAGAAGGCTACAGAAATATGAAAAAAGAAAATGAATTAATGTTGTTTAGTAAAGAAATGTTTTCAAGACTGCGGGTAGGAATTTGTGTTCAGGGCTGCAAGGTGAGGATGGCACGTTTTTCTGTGTTGCTCTATGATTCCGGCGCATCAGCTAAACAATTTAAAAACTTTGTTTAGTGTGCGTTGTATAAAAAAGGATAACAACAATTTATAAACAAATTAACCCAAGTGCTTTTTCATGTTTTAACAAATCGATATCCGTATTCGTATGATTCACTGAACTTGACGTACTTAAAATTTTATAAAAGAGGAGCTTTGATTTTTTTAAGTAGAGGAAACGAAATTCAAT